TCAAGAAGGTTGAATCTTGCATCGGTGTTTTTAAGACAGGTACGTGCGCTGTTCAATATCTTTAAAAATCCGCAAGACAACCACGTTCAGTGGGCAAGCTACTGCACCGGCCTACCAGGTTGGTAGTGGACACTAACAGCTGTGGCGACTCAGGAATTACTAGTCTGGTTGCGATAAATGGTACTACAAAGACTGCATGATTGGGCCATGTTCTCAAGTATACATTGCACTAGAAACCCACCGATCACTGTACTCGTGTGGGAATGCTGTGACTGTGGTAATATATTACCTAGCCGCGGCGACTGTTGCAGGGCTTCTCTTTCTTGCAGTCTTTTTACATATTAAAAGTAAAACTAGCCCTCAGAAGACTGCAAGAAAGAGAAGCCCTGCAACAGTCGCCGCGGCAATGGTATACCCAACTTTGCATCATCCATATTCGATTTTACTGATGATAACATTCCATTCAGTAAATTAATTTAATACGCTGAGTTCTAACTAGCCGTGGACGACTCTGGTAACCCTTTTTGCATGATAATGCCGGGGCATTATCATGCAAAAGGAGGTTACCAGAGTCGTCCACGGCTAAGTTCTAACATACTTGATTTTGTACCAATGTCTTGTGTGTCGCTACTGGAGTTTAATAAAGCACATAAAGCACACATTCTAACCCAAGTTTACCAGGCGACATCCCAATGGCTACATCCACTCCACTTTATTTTAATTAATGAATCAAAGCAGGAGGGCTCTCACATGAGGGGTCATAGTCACAAGAGATCGTAAAGTATACTTCTAGTTAACAAAACCCCTAGAACCTCCTTGGTCAAACTTTCAAAGTGTGCAGAACAAATTACAGCTGAACTGGCGACAGTACTTGACATTTACAAGCCAGATAACAGTAGTGAGTACAGAGTCATGGCTCAATCAAGACATAGCAAGTAGTGAAATATTCCCCAGCAATTACATACCATAGCACACCGGAAAGACAGACAAACTGGCCAAACAGGCCAACAGGGATGATCTAACCCTTTGTAAGAAACCTAGGCGAGCAGTAAAAACCCCACTGGTCCCGGGCTGGGGTTCGAACCCACGACCTCCTGGGCACCAGAGCTTCATAACCAGACGCTCTAACCACTCCGCTAAAAGGTCTAGACCCCTCGGCCGGGTCAGTTGGTAGCGCCTATAAACCCCCCACTGTTACACTACTCCCCCTTTTCTTTTCAAGATTCGTCCTCGAATCTTCTGACTTCGACATCCCTGGAGCGGCAAATCCAGCAAAGCAGTTCCAGGCAACTGTAATGCAACTGACAAGTACTGATGCTTCAAAAGAATTATTCTGACTGATCTCTTACTGACAGTTACTGTCTTTACAGTACTGACATGCTACAGGCAACCGCTGTCAACTGCTGACATTGACAATGAGAATGTCACATGTGGCCTAAACTGTGATTGGTGCATTTGAACCTGTGACGACCTTGAAAATGGAGCCTGCCAGGGTAAGTAACATGTGCTTATCTCTCTGTGTGTAAAATGTGTCTATCCAAGACACATATCCAAGACTTTTTAGTTGTGTTGTATTTTGAAATAGATTATTTAAAAAAATATAATACTTTGTTAAACAGATAAACACCACAATACTACTGTTAGTATCCTGTCCCCCTGTATAAATGGTGTGGTCCAAAAAGTGGTTGGATACTCTAACAAGAGTTTCACGATCTCATACCTTCGCCAAATGATGTTAACCTCCGGTTGATGAGTTACGCAATTTAATCATTTATTTCGCAAATAAGAGCCTCATTTGCATGGATTATGTAAGTTGATCAAATTCTCCAACCAAGGATAGCCTTATCTTAACAAAAAAGGGTATTCTAGCACTTTCTCATAAATTATGCAAATGAGGCCATGATTTGAATAAATAATGCT